CAGCAGGTGGCATGGTGGTTAAGGTGGCTGGAATCCCACATAGCTGACCATGGTTCGAGTCCTCGACCTGGCAGCTTGCTTTCTCACTTTCCTTCTCTCTCTTTGTCTCTCTCTGGTCAAATTCAAAAAAAAAAAAAAAGTAAAATAAAATAAATGAATAAAATTTAAAATAATAATAATAATAAGTAAAATAAATAACTATTAAAAAAACAAACAAAAAATATATACTTCAGTGCACTGTGATATTTAGCAAGAGAGAGAAAGTTTCTTAAATAATGTGCCCACAGAATTCATGGGTGATGGGATGAAGTTCCCTTATGGTAACAGTGTTCCTCAAAACCTATTTTGAGAAATTTATTTATTTATTTTTATTTATTTATTTTTCTTTTTAAAGAGGTTTTTGCTATAGGGCATGTGCACTTGCCAGAAAGACAGAGACAGAAAGTGAGAAATCACCCCACAGGGGAAATGGCCACACCACAATCCCTTCTCCATTCTCCTCTTGGGATCTTGGGCACACACGCACTCATGCCCGGCATGAGTTTAAGCCACTGGGTCCGAGACTCGAATTGCAGTCAACTCTGTGGGAGTCCAGAGACATAGCCATTATACCAACTGCTGGTCCCTATTGTGAGAAATATTTAATGACCCTAAATACTAGACTAGAGATCTGGGAATGTAACTTTCTGTATTATACTTGATCACGGTGGTCTCTGTATTGAAAGGTAGATGACTTACATCAACAAATTGTGTGTGTGTGTGTGTGTGTGTGTGTTCATTAATTTATATAATGCGTTATTAGAGGTTTTTTGTTTTTGTTTTTAAGAATTTTGCCACAAGGGAGCATATGCTCACCAGAGAGAGAGAGACAGAGGGAAAGTGAGAAGTCCTCCCCCACGAGGATGGCCATATCACAATCTGTTTACCTCCATTCTCCTCCATATTTTAGGCATGCATGCATGTGCACCCAGTGTATTTTCCAAGCTGTTGGGTCCAAGACTCAAACTGCACAGCTGGCCATGTAGAAGTCCAACACCTTAACCCCCATGCCACTTGCTGGCCCTAGGAAATTTTAATATATTAAGTCAAAGAAAACTAATAATGTCCCTTAAATACTTTCTTTTCCCCAAAAATGTTATAAGTAAATAAAGCCAATAACTAATTTGGGTGTAACAGAAGAAATAAAACAAAACAAAACAAAACAAAACATGACTCTTTGAACTTTACATGGGATATATTTGAAAAAAATTCATTCAGACCATATAACCAGTTACTTACAAGGAAAGTGGGAAGTCCTCTTGGAGCCAGAATTTTTTTTTTTTAATAGAGGGAACTTGTATCACTAGAAGGTCAGAGAATGGGAGAGGGAGAAAGCACTTTCCAGTGGGGCATAGTCACACTGCAGTCCCTTCTCTCCCATTTCTCCATCTTGTTGGGATTTGGGGCACATATGCACAACATGTTTTTGATGCTGCTGGGACTGGAATTGAATCATACACACACCCATATGAATCTGGCTTCCTGAAGTACCCGACCAGGGGGTCAGACCAGAGCTAGACTTGTTGAGCCATGAGGACTAACTAGGTACTACCTCTACCAAATCATAGCAACTCCCCATGAGCATATTACTTGTGTCAGTAAGGTTAATAACCTCTTCCTCACCAGGTTCTTAGGAGTGTCAAATGAAATATGTGAGTATATTAAGTAAAGGGAACAATGTTTTGTCAGAAATCCTGGCCACCTGCGGTCAGCAGGTGGTGTGGTAGTTAAGAGTGCTTGACTTCCTCATGGCCAACCATGGTTTGAGTCCCGGACCTGGCGGCTTGCTTTGTCCCTCTCTGGTCAAAAACTTAAAAATAAATAAATACAGTTACATAAAATAATTCTTAAAAAAAAAATTCTGGCCACTTTAGGGAAGACAAAGGTAGCTTTTGGCTGAAAGAGCAAATCTGGAGGAATGAGTTGCCCCAGGGAACTGTGTAAAGATTTTTTTCCCTATATTTATGGTTGGGGTAGACTTAAGTGTAGAACATCACTTACTGACATTGAGAGTGTTTGGGTTTATGCATCTGGCTGTGTTTAGGTGTTCCCAATCTAAATTACTATGGTGTCTGTGTACCTGTAATTTTTGCTTAGCTTAGTTACAAACATTTTAAATTAATGATAGAGTGTGTACACGTGCATGAGAGAGAGAGAGAGAGAGAGGAGTACCTTCCATAAGGTCTGGTCATGCTGCAGTCTCCTTCCAGTCTTCCAGCCCACTGGATCCTGGGGATATGTGCTCCTGCCAGACATATTTCAGGCTAATTAGGCCAGGGATTTGAACCACACTTGTCATGTGGGATCAGCTTTTCTTAAGCAATTTATTACTGGTGTGCCACAGAGCTGGGCTCTAGGCCTTTTCAAAAAGGCTGTTTTTGACACTGCAGTATCTTTGTACCTTTTCCAAAGCTGGATTGATCACTGGAGTGAGATGAACTCCTTACGGCCGGCCCCCAAGCCTGGAAGTTAATGGAGCTGGATCCCACGTAGCTGACTACATAGTGTGAGTTCTGCCCCCAATAGCTTGAGAAACACGCTGGGTACGTATGTGTGCATGCCCAAAATCCTAATAGGGTGAAGAAATGGAGGAGACAGGATTGTAGGAGGACCAGGCCCTCTCTCCCTCTGACATCTCTGCCAAGCTCATGAACTCTCTAGCAAGTTTAAAAAAAAAAAAAAACAACTTTAATTTAAAATGAAACATAAGCACAAGTAAATAAACCAAAGTTTTTGCTTCAGATTTTTTTTAATTACTTATTTAGCTTTATTTATTATTATTATTTTTAAAAATTTGCTATAGGGCAGGCACGTGCTCACCAGAGAGAAGACAGCAAGAAGAGAAAAAAAGGGAGGGAAAAGTGAGAAAGTAAATCACCAGGTCCAGGACTCAAACCATAGTTGGCCATATGGGAATCCAGCAACTTAACCACTATACCACCTTGACCCCTCTAACACAGTTTTTTGTTGTTGTTGATTTTAGAGAGATTTTTACTATAGGGCACATTGGAGAGACAGAGACAGAAAGCAAGAAATCACTCCCCCGCCCAGGGGCCATGGCCATGATGCAATCCCTTCTCCGCTATTCTCCAATTAGGATTTTGGACAAGCATGCACATGCACCCAGCATGAGTTTCAAGCCACCAAGTCCAGGACTCGAACCATGGTCAGCCATGTGAAAAATCCAGTGATGTAACCATTAGGCTATCTGCTGGCCCTACTAATGGGTTTTAAAAAATCAGACTTCTAGAAATAATTGTGACTCAACTTGTTTATCCTTTTGTAAGAAGAACCTGAGGTTCACCATCACACTACTTGCTGTGTTGTCTCAGAGTGCCGTACGTACTCTAATATATGCTGTCAGTGCCAGCAATGCAACAAAAGAGCTTGTCCTGACCGTTGCTGAGGAATCATTCTCCCCCCTGAATGACTCTTGTTTAACGAGTTTAATTGCCACACATTTAAATTCACCCTTCTTGCAGTGTATACTTCAGTGAATCTTGACAAATGAATATAGTCATGTAACCACCACCACAGCCGATACAGAAGGGTTTGCTCATGCCACAAAATTCCTTTGTGTTCCTTTATAGCCATCTCCTCCCTCTGCCCCTAACCTTTGCAACCACTGCATCCCTTAATTTTGTCTTTCCCAGAATGTTGTGAATAAAATTATACTCCTAATTGATTCTTACTCTGAAAAAAAATTGGTAAACTGTAAATTTTTGAACATTTTTTCCCAGTACAAAGATACCATCTCTTTCTTTTTTTTACTTTTTTTTTTTTTAGAGAGGTTTTTGCTATAGGGCAAATGTGCTTGCCAGAAAGACAGAGACAGAAAGAGAGAAAGCAAGAAATCACCCCCTAGGGGGGATGGCCATACCACAATCCCTTCTCCATTTATTCCTCTCAGGATTTGGGGCATGCACTCACACACACCCAGTGTATTTTCCAAGCTGTTGGGTCTGGAACTCAAACTGCGTGGTCAGCCATGTGGAATCCAGCTACCTTGGAACCTCCATTCCACTAAGGTGGCCTTGAACAGGGTCTTGACTCTGTAACCCACCCCCAGCTTCAGCTAGCCTTAGGTGCATGTGTGCCTGACTCAGTGAGGTCTCTGGACATGAACCTCAAACCTTCCCGTGTGGACCAGCCTTGCAGAGCATGGCGTTTTACTTCTGTGCCAGTGTTAGACCCTGGAATTATCATCTTTTGTGACTTTCCAAAAGAGGCAAGACAGGAGGTAAAAAGAGAACCACTGCTGCCTCTTGAAACACTGTAGTAGGACACCATTATAGAAATAGACCTTTCTGTCTGGAATGTTTGAAACACATAAACAATAGGAAAAAAAAAAGCATTTAAAAATCACAGTATGATATGTAAGTACCATTACCTAATTGTACTTTGATATTACAATAACTGTGTGTAAGTGTGCCCTGATTCTATGTAAAGATACAAAAAAGCATCACATACTAATAAGAGAAATCCAAGAAAGATTAAACAATAGAGTTACCCATGTTTATTAATCTCTGACTTTTCTTTTTTCTTTTTAGATATTTTTGCTATAGGGAACATGCACTCTCCAGAGACAGACACAGAAAGTGAGAAATCAGCCCCCAGTGGGGATGGCCACACTGCAATCCCTTTTCTTCCATTCTCCTCTTGGGATCTTGGGCACAGACGCACATGCGCCCAGCATGAGTTTTAAGCTGCTGGGTCTGGGAGTCAAACCACGGTCAACTACTACATTATTTGCTGGTCCTACTCTCTGACTATTTTATGACTTAGAGAGTGACATATTAGAAGTTGTTTTATAGATCTGCTTTATTATCCTTGACATGTCAGTGATATTTTCAGATGAAAGAAAGTTACAAATAGAAGGAATTTTTTGTTTTCTTATCCTGATTGGCTTATTGGAATTTATGGAGCTTAAGAAATTGGGGGGGGTGCTTTTTTCTTTCAAGGCTATGAAAATGATTCTGTAGAAGACTTGAAGGAGATGACTTCAATATCCTCTCGAAAGAGAGGTAAAAGAAGGTACTTTTGGGAATACAGTGAACAACTTACACCATCACAGCAAGAGAGGATGCTGAGGCCCTCTGAATGGAACCGAGACACCTTGCCAAGTAATATGTATCAGAAAAATGGTTTACATCATGGTAAGAGGGGATTGTAGTCAGATTCATAGTGTCTCTTTAAACACAGATACTAAACCATACTGCTTCCTCAGTGCAGCTAGGAAAGGTGTTCACCCTTCCCTAGCAATCCAGGACAGGAACAGTAGAGCTGCTGTATGACTGCTCTTCGCTCACAGATACCCTTTGAAGTTACCATTGTCAATCCATCACGAAGCAGGGAGGAAGGACCATGTGGACTATTCTATTTCCAGTCCCTTCTTTTCCTCATCCCATCCAGGAAATGACAGGAGGCTGCTGGTTCCTGACTGGTCACAGTTGCTATAACTAGCAGGGTGAGGGAGAAAGCGAATGGCTCCAGCATTCCTCTTTTCCATTCTTGACCAATCCCCAGGTTGAAATGTAAATGGGAAGATTGGAATAAAAATGTTATTGGGGAGAAAAGGGGAGAAAAGAGGAGACAAAGGAAAGAAGGAATAATTGCGGACAACGCAAGTGAAGAGATAAGAGTTGAATAGAAGAAATGGGAGAAGCTTATCGTCTTAGGTCAAATTTTGAGTTGTGAATTATAGGAAACTGTGATTAAGTAGAATTCCTCCTTCATAAATGCTATTTTTATGTTAATCCAAAGACTTTTGAAAATGATAGGAAGAGGAAGTACTAATAAGTTTGGTGCTCAGTAAACAGTTGAATATTCATCCATTCCTTAGATATAAGTTGCTTATAAGCATTCTTGAGGACAGGAATTGCATTTGAATATATTTGTGTGTCATTTTCCCTTTCCATTGACTCTCAAGTCTGTAGTTTCTTGGTGAATTATTACTGAGTTTTGGCCTTCAGATTGATTTCTTCCAGAAGTGAAAACTTACAAGTTCAATAAGTAATTCCAAGTAGCATTTCCTAGTAATGGTACTAGGAAAGATGTTTGGTACACTCTAGTTCAGATGACAGAGACCTTTTCTCCCTGGGGGATGGAGCAAGGCCATCTGAGTCTTCTGAAATATTTATCAAAGCAGCCAAAAAAGAGCTTCCAAGCAAGATGATCCATATTTATTGGATTTTTTTTTCAGTCCAACATTAAAATATCTGTGTCTGACAAATTTTTCAGTCATAGCATCCAAACGTGGTTTGGGTAAAATCCCCAAACTGTCTCCTGACCACATGTTATACCTTAGCTCCAATTTTTGTGTGCAGTTGAACCTGGACTGCAGTCCTTAGATTTCAGGTGTTTAGTGCCACCATGCAATAATTAAGACTGTCATCCTGGGGCTAGAAACCCAAGAGTAGAGAAGGACTTGAAAAACGTCCTGTGTTACATCACCCATGTTTATTGCGCCATGGTGGGGTGTGGGGAAGGAGAGGAGGCTAGCCCTTCTGGGATAGGTTATTAGACATGCTGAAACTTCCAGGGACTTCTGAAAATTTTGAAAAAGTGGTTGTGGGAGGGTAATGGTTTTAAATATAGCTGTAGGAAGTGTACCTCTTGTTAATTAAAATGATCTAACTTAAACTGCTTTTACACCATTTATAGGAAAATATGCAGTAAAGAAGTCACGGAGAACTGATGTAGAAGACCTGACTCCAAATCCTAAAAAACTTCTTCAGATAGGCAATGAGTTACGGAAGCTGAATAAGGTGATTAGCGACCTGACTCCAGTCAGCGAGCTTCCCTTAACAGCCCGGCCAAGGTCAAGGAAGGAAAAAAATAAGCTGGCTTCCAGGTAAATGCTGTTAATGTTCACTCATATGAATCAAGTTTAGAAGATGAGGTGAGACCCTAAATGAATTTTTAATATAAGACCTATGTTCAGCTATTGTTCAAAAACTGTATTTTACTCTTCTAACTCTACAATGACACTATGATTTTTCCTTTGAAAGTAAAAGATGGTGTTTATGCTTTATGGAAAAAGTTTTTAAGAGGGGAGAGGTGAATGGACTCGAGTGCATTATATTACAGTATAACATAATTTTTTTTTTAATTCGTCAGAATGTGCTTGTCTCACTGGAGAGAGAGAGACAGAGAAAGGGAAAGTGAGAAAGCCCCCCTCATGATACGTTGTCATACCACAGTCCCTTCTCCTTCTCTCCTCCTTATGGGATTTTGAGCACACATGCCTGGCATGTTTTTCAAGTCACTGGGTCTAGGATTCAAACCAATATTGTTGGCCGTGTAGGATCCAGCCACTTTAACCACATGCCACCTTGGCCCTATACTAAATATTTTTATCATAGATGTATTTTTGTTTGCTTTTTTAGTAAGTCAGGAATGTTGTATAATTTACCTACAGTAAAGGTCATCCCTTTTAATGAATACTTAATGAGTTTTGATAGACATAGCTAATCATAACTATCACCACAATGTAGTTATTTAACATTTATATTGTCTTTAAACATTCCCTCATGTCTCTCTCTTTTTTTTTGGAGAGGTTTTTGCTATAGGGCGCGTGCGCTCACCAGAAAGACAGAGATAGACAGAGACAGAAAGTGAGAAATCACCCCCCAGGGGGGATGGCCATACCACAATTCCTTCTCCTCCTTTTTCCTCTTGGGATCTTGGGCACACGCACACGCACCCGGCGTGAGTTTAAGCCATCAGGTCTGGGACGTGAACCATGGTTGACTACGTGGGAGTCCAGCGACATAGCCATTCCTCCAGCTGCTGGCCCCAGCCCTCATGTCTCTTTTTAAAAGCCAAGCCCTTGGGGCCAAGCAGGTCACATGGTAGTTAAAGGCCCTGGACTACCCCATCGCCAACCATGTTTGAGTCCCAGACCTGGTGGCTTAATTGCTCTCTCTCTCTCTCTCTGTCTTTGGTGAGTGCACATGCCCTATAGCAAATGAATAATAATGCAAATGATAAATAAAATTAAATAAAAAATTCTTGGGAAGTTTTTTTCTTTTCTTTTTTTTTGCTATAGGGCACGTGCACTTGCCAGACAGACAGACAGAGAGAGAAAGCGAGAAATCACCCCCCAGGGTGGATGGCCATGCCTCAGTCCCTTCTCCTCCATTCTCCTCTTGGGATCTTGGGCACGCATGCACACGCGCCTGGCGTGAGTCTAAGCTACCAGATCCGGGACTCGAACCGTGGTTGACTACATGGGAGTCCAGTGACATAGCCATTATGCTAACTGCTGGTCCCAAATAAATTCATTAAAAAAAAAAAAAAGGGCAGTCCCTTCTCACACCTTTGACCCCTCACAAACTTTGATCTTTTTTCTGTCTCTACAGTTTTGTCTTTTCTAGAATGTCATATAGATGTATTCATGTTGTTGTGTGGAGTCATGGTTCCTTTTTATTGCTGAGTAGTATTCCTTGTTGGTATTTACTACAGTTTATCTATTTACCAGTTCAAAGGCATTCAGTTTGTTTACAGTTTGGCAATTATGAATAAAAGCACTGCAGACATTCCCTTACAAGTGTTTGTGTGAACACATTTTATTTCTTTTGCCAAACTGCTTTTCAGAATAGCCATATGGACTATTTTGCATTTTCATTGGCAATATGAGGGTTCCATTTCCTTCATATCCTCTTCTGTACTTGGTATTGTCAGTTTTTATTTGTTTAGTTTTGTATTTTAGCTATTCTAATAGGCATGTGCTGGTCATAGCTTTATTTTTGAATGTGTTCTAAATTTTTAAGAAAACAATTTGGATAAATGATGCCTTTTGTTTCATGGTAACTTAGTTTTTTGATAAATATCAGTAAACAGTGTTTCTCTTTGTTTTAAGGTTTTTGTCATAGGGCATGTGCACTCACCAGAAACGGAGACAGTGAGAGGGAAAGTGAGAAATCACTCTGTGGTATGTGGGGGGTGGCCACGCTGCAATCCCTCTCCTCCATTCTCTGGGATTTTGGGCACACATGCTCAGAAGCCCAGCATGATTTTCAAGCTGCCGGGTTTGGGACTCAAACTGCAGTCAGCCATGTGGGCATCTAGCATTGTAATCACTAAGCCACCTGCTAGTCCCTAGACAGTAATTTTTTATTGCTACTAAAATGTCTGACAGCAACAAAAAGAAGGTATGCTCTACATATTTACCTTAAAAAAGTGAACTAATCCCTTCTTCCTTTCTTCACAGAGCTTGTCGGTTAAAGAAAAAAGCCCAGTATGAAGCTAATAAAGTTAAATTATGGGGCCTCAATACTGAATATGGTAAACCTAAACTTTTAAGAATTTGATTAACTTCTTGTCACTTTACTGACCAGTCTTTTTTCCTTTGGTTTTGTTATTTCCTTTCTCCGCATTCGGCCCAATTTTTGGCTAGCCTTCTTTTTGTTCATCCATTCAGTAAGCCATATCTTCATTTTCTTTCATTTTTAGTCTTCTTGGTATGAGTGGCTCTCAAGCCTTATCTCTTCTCTACACTAAGGAGCTGGTCCACTTGTGGCTAGAATAATTTCTTCTGTTTATAACTATGCTGCTGGGTTAGCTCCTTTCGTTGAGTGGTTTTTGTATTTCCCTTATAGTGAGCAATGACATATTGACCTTTGTGTGTGTGGCCTACATTTTCTACACTTGACTGCTTATCGAAATTGTCTGTGTGCTTAAAAAAATACAGATTCCCAGGCTCTCCCTATGTCATATGAACTGGAATCTTTGCATAGAGAACCCAGGAATCCAATTTTGTTCTTTAAAAGTTGTTTTGGCTATTCTAGGTCTTCTCATATCAATATACATTTTAGAATCAGTTTATCACGTTTTATTAAAAAACCTTACTGAAATTTTGATTGGGATTGCTTTGAATCTGGAGATCAATTTGAAAAGAATTACCATCTTAAAATGAAGTCTTCCAATTCATGAATTTGTAATCTTAATCTAGCTAAATAATTTTAGTTTGTTGCTGCCATGCTTCATAATTTTCAGTGTGGTGTGTTTGAACATTTTTTGTTAGATGTAATCGTGGACATTTTATATTTTTTGATGCTGCCATAAATGGAATTATTTTTGAAATTTTATTTTAAACTCTTTGCTATTAATAGATTAAACAGATTTTTGTGTATTACTCTTGTATCTTAGGATCTTGCTAAGCTTATTTATTCCACTAGTAGATGTGTAGATTCCCTGGGACTTTTATGCTTAGCATTTATCATCTGCAAATAAAGATGGTTTCATTTCTTCTTTTCTTTTTTAAAAGAATTATTTTATTTAACTTTATTTATTTATTTTAATTTGACCAGAGATATACACACCTCAGAAAGAAAAAAAGCCACTAGGTTTGGAACTCAAACCATGGTCAGCCATGTGGGAGTCCGGCGCCCCCAACCACCACGCCACTTGCCAGCCCCTCATTTCTTCTTTTCTGATCTTTGCCTTTTTGTTTTTCTGCCTTATTAAAATGTCTAAGACATCAAGCACAATATTGAATAGAAGTGATTGCCTTGTTTGCAATATCAGGGGAAACCTTTTATGATATTTATGGTGTATATATATTTTTAAGATAGAATGTCCCTTTTTACAAAATAAATTGTATTTTTCCCCTTTATTATCATGATAGTGTTTATAAATGCATACATGGGTCAAGGGAAGAGCACCCATACACACACAATGTCTGGCCACATTGCAGTCCCCTCTCCTCCATTTTCCTCTTGGGATTCGGGCACACATGCACATGTACCCAGTGTGTTTCTCAAGCCATCAGATCTGGGACTGGAACTGTACAGTCAGCCATATGGGATCCAGCTGCCTTAACTGTCTAACCGTCTACCGGCTGGCTCCTATCATGGGACTTAAAGCTCTAAAGACAAGTATGGCAAATGGCTTACAGGATTATAGCATTGTTCAAGAGTACAATGTGTTATCAAACATCATTTGAAATTAGTTTCTTTGAATAGGAAAGCATATAACGATCACTAATGAACATTTTCTTAAACATTTTTTAATATATATATTTATTTCTTCCATGAGCAGAAGAGACAGAGAAAGAGAGGAAATGAGGAAGAGACAGCACCCCCAGTAGGGTCTTGATGCCACAGTCCACCGCCAGCTTTTTTGCCAGTACTGGATCATGGGTAAAAGTACAGCATCTTCAGGAGGTCTCTAGCCTTAAACCGGGAACCTTACCCTGTGGGATGCCTTCACAGAGCATTGCACTTTACCACTGTGCCACCCTCTGACCTCCTTCTTAACGTTTTCTTACAATTTCCAGATTTAAAATGACTATGTTATTACATAATAAGATAAAATTCTTCCACATTAGTGATGTATTCCACGTATTTTGTTCTGTCTTACAGATAATTTATTGTTTGTAATCAACTCCATCAAGCAAGAGATTGTAAACCGGGTACAGAATCCGAGAGAGGAGAGAGGACCCAACATGGGGCAGAAGCTTGAGATCCTTATTAAAGATACTCTTGGTAAGAAGAATATTGGATAAAATTCATAACAACATGATAGCATGCTGTGCAAGATACAAGATTAAAGAGGATATTAATATTAAGAGTTCTTTCAAGGAAAAACTCCAGTGCTGTCATTGTAGTTACTCTCCTTTATGAGTAGCTTCATCTTTTTAGATTTAGCACTCGTGAACATATACTGCTGATTACTATTTGTAATTTAGCCTTAGTCACTGAACTAAGTTTGAAGACAAACTTCAACTTCTGACTTTCCTTTGGAGGGGAAAAAGAGACCCTGAGTTGTCAAGCCTGCAGTTGTTTTACTCAGTAATAAATTTTATAGGATCCTAGCAAACTGGGTTATCTGGTTCTCACTCCTGA